CCCGAGCGACGCCGCCGCCCCACCCCGCCATCCCCTAGCGACGCCGCCGCCCCACCCCGCGACTCTGGTGGATCTCCGGGGAGGTGACCTTCTCGCTACAGCTGACTTGACCTCCGGAAAAAAAAGTTTCTCCCTCAAGCGGCGTTCTTGTCGCGTCCATAGGAGTTGAGCTGGAGCATCTTGGTGGACGAGGAGCATGACGATGCAGCCATCGGCCTCCTACCACAACAAGCGACCACCGTGGCCATCCTCCACCTGCCGCTGTAGCCTTCCTCCCCGACCGCCTCCACGACACTCTGGCCTTCGTCTACCTCTGGCTCCGCTGCTGCCCAAGGTTGTGTGCGCGATGGCGACCCATGTCGTTTATCGTCCTGGTTGCGTACGCACTGACGAGTGATGCCCCGATCCAGCTCCTCCATCCTCCAGCCACGGCAAGTCCAAGAGAAAGACATTCAGTCTAGCAAGCCAAATGGTTGACCACCAGCCCACGCGTGGATTGGCCCCGACCTGCAGCTGGAGGAGGCCGCGACCTTCAGCTATAGGAGACATCAACCTACGACTGGAGGAGGCCCCGACCTTCAGCTGTCAATTTTGAGGAACTAGCTACTCTGATAATCTAACTTGACACCGTATTTGTTTTTGTTCTTTATAAGTTCAGGCAACTAGGTTGTTCACTAGGAAAACCTTCTCTGTTTGTGCTAACTAGTAGTACGTACTACTAAACTATAATAATCTTGTGAAGTGGATAATGCTCGTGCCCCTGGACGCTGGCCATGTGAGATTTTGATGGCTTCGTACTTTTGTTATTTGATTTTTGAATAACAGAAGTTCTCTTCTTTGTCTGTAGAAAACCCCAGTATATCACATTTGTTTGTCGTTATCCTCTGAAAAATGGCATTGTTGTAGGTCAGTTTCGCCTGATGCATTAGTTCAGTTGAAAAAACAGAAGAGCATTATACCTTATTGTCTACTCCGCTGACTTCTTTTTCTATACTATGTAGGTTAGCTTCGCCTGATGTGTTAGTTCAGTTTCGTAGTGCACGATGGGCATGATCTAGTAACCCGCAGCCCGCCGCTGGCCGTCAACCCAACCGCCGTTGTCCCCGGCCACCACACAAGCATTGCCGCTCCTGCATCTCCGACCACATTGACCTTCTCGCGAGGGCCACCTTGACCTTCCCAATGAAGGTTCATCCATGGAGCGGACGCTCTCGCCACTCCACCGTCGCGTCATGCCTGGCTCGTTGCACGTCTCCGCCCTCTGTCACAAGTGCGCTGCCACCGCAGAGAGCTTCCAGCACACTGCCTTGGCCTGCCCTTCCAGCGCCAAGCTTCCCTTGTGCGGCGTCGGCTACCACTCGTGGCAGAGCGGCTACTTCCCTCCCCGTTGTGCCAGCAGTTAGTGGCCGTTCGCCCCTGGCCTGTTCTTGCTTCGTTGTCTTCAGAAAATTTCAGAAAAACTAACTGAACTCATATGTTGTTTCAGGAAAATTACTGTGGATTTGTACTACCGATTACTAAAAAGTTCAGAAACAATTCTCCCACAAACATAAGTTCAGGTCGCTGTTTGTTGTTAGTTCAGAATGTCCGGCGGTTGCGGATCCGGTGGTGCTTGACTGCAGTGAGCCGTCGACGCGGGCACAGCATCCGATGGAAGCCGAGTCAATTGTAGCCAACGCGAGGAGGGATTAGTATAGCTGTCTGTGGAGTTCATATCCATACATGGCGTGTTCTTGGTGGAAACGGCCGACATAAATTTGCTACATGTTAATACAACAAGCACTTCACTATACTAGTCCTTTAACTTGTAGTTGTTGTAACTCTAGTCACTCGCTTCTGCAAAAAGTGATGATCTTTTTCCTATTGTATGAGTAGCTCAGTGGTGGTGGCTTTGGAGATGGATGAGAACAAAGGTGTGTGTGTGTGTGGTAGAAAAAAGGGTCCACGAAACTTGTATTTTCTTCATATATACTCTGATTATTTTGGTCGTTGGACTATGGGTGTTTACGACATTGGACTGCTCTGATTTTATTGAACATATAAAAAAATGGAAGCACAACGCATGTTCTGGTCACTTGAGAAGATAAGGAAATGATTGGGATGAAAACATATGGTGGTAAAAATTCCACAGTTTTTCAGTTTAAAAGAACCATTCTCAACTTTTATAGTCATTTATTTTGCTCTGTTCAGCCTATGCAAGAAAAGGAAGCAAGCTCATGCATCTTGTTACAAATCATTTTTTATTAATTAGGTTGCAAAAAAAGTGTAAGCATATGTGTTTACCATGCCGCACTAGGCCCATCATTTATTTGTGCCCCCTTTTTAGGAATACTTGTTAAATGGCTACTCGTTTGTACATATGTTAAATAATATTCACTTCCTCTCATGTGTTAAAAATACTGGCAACTCCGAACCTAAAACAAGTTCAAGTATGAGAACACACGAAATTCAAATAGTACATGTTCAAAAAAGCCTCCCTTGTAGTTATGAAACAAACATGCACTATATTAAAGCCTATGGACAAAATCAATCATTGTGAAAAAGTAGTGCGCCGATAAAAAAATTTGTTTATAAACAATATACAAATTTAAATTAAAAACACAAAGATGATTGATCTTTGTACAAAAAATATATTTTATGATTTCTAAAAAAACAAGGTCATATTAAATCAAAATAGAAATAATTCAAAAAAAACGAAAAAGGATTGTCCTTCTTTCTAAAAAAACTTAGAAGTTCAAATTTCAATAAAGGGCGGTTCGATGTTTATTAGAACACAAGGGTTTCCTCCATTACTAAATAATAAACCAAGAATTTTAAATTAAAAAGATAGAGAAGTTCAAAACTTTTTGACGGGAATTTCATAAGAAGTTCAAACCAAAATGACAAAGTATTTCAAAAATAACACAAAACTTTGAAGCAAGTATTTCACCGTTTCTAGAAAACATAAATTTTCGTGTTTTTAATTAAATCTCAACAAGTTGAGATTAAAATAACAGAGTAGTTCAAATTATGGATTAAAATACATTTTCTCCATTTCTAGGAAAAACCTAGATGTTTAACTTTAAATAAAGAAGCAATCCAAATTTAAATAATGAAGCGATTACAAAACTCAAAATTCCTCATTAATAAAAAATAAACTAAGAAGTTCAAATTCAAATAACACAGCAGTGCGATTTTTATAATTCATGAAGAAAACAAAAGGCGTCACCTAGAAAATGTTAACTCTCAAAGTTCAAAATTTTCCATTACTAAAGCGAAACAGAGAGAAGTTCAAATGGATAACAGCCCGAAGTTCATGTACTGCATGTGTGTGTGTGTGTTTGTATGAGAAAAAATGAATAAAAAACGAAGTCTAAAATTTGTGTTGCTAGAAGTTCAAGTGCTAAGCCCGAGAAAGTTCAAAAAGTTCCTCCTATTCAACAACTTTCCAAGGGTATATAATATTCTTATTCCAAATAAAGGGTTAATACAAATTGTTGTATCTTGTTCGAAACAAAAGTTAAACCGTGTTAGAAAAAGTTGCATCTTTTCAACAGGTTTCTAATGTTATATCATTTGTGCAACACCGACGAAACGAATGAGTAATCACGAACAAAAATATGTGACAGAAGTTCAAGGTGAAAACAACGAGCAATTCAATTAATACACTGTATGTGTTTCGAAAGAGAATAAAATAATAAGAAAGTAAAAGCCTAAAAGGTTTGTTGCAAGAAGTTCACGTGATCCACCCTGCATGGTAAAATTATATTACGAGACTCCGATCTTCAATTACATGTTAAAAAAGATAAAACTGCTCTCAAACGACAACAAATTTGTAACACCTGTCTACATGAAAAAGTTGCTCCTATTCATAAGCTTTCCAACGGTATATTATATGCTATATTCTGATGAATGGTTTAAAAGTTTTATGTATATTGTTTAAAACACGTTTTTGTGTATTCAAAAAATTCTTTTGAACCATCACGAGTATGAAAAACTGATTAACACGGGAAAGTTGCGAGTTTTCAACAGTTTTCCATCGGTATATCATTTCACAATTCCGATAAGTGGTTTGGGAGCTACGGGCAAAAAACAACACGTCAAAAACAGAGTGAAGTTCAAACAGACATGCCCCAGAAGTTCAACTACTTCATGCAACGAATTTGTAACACCTATCTACATAAAAAAATTGCTCATATTCATAAGCTTTCCAACCTTATATTATGTGCTACATTTCGGTGAATGGTTTAAAACACATTATTATGTATTTCAAAAAATTCTTATCTGTTGAAAGAAGTTCATAGTGAAAACAAAGAAAAGTTCAAGTATTGCAAAGAATGCATTTCAAGTGAGAATAAAAGTATAGAAAAATAAAAGCTTAAAAGGTTTGTTGAAAGAAGTTCAAGTGCTTTGTCCGGGGAAGTTCAAAAATTCTTGTGAGAGAGGTTCACCTTGTATTTCCATGTTCGTAAACACAAAAAAGAAATTGTTTTTTGCCTTTTAAAATAATTCTCTCAATCCACAAAGAAGTTCAGTTATTATTTGAGAGCAATTTGATTTCAAAAAGAAAATAAAAAATTCAAATTATAAAAATGGAAAAAAGTTCTTGTACTACATGGTGTGTTTAATATGAGAAAAATGAATAAAAAGGCAAGGTCCAAATTTTTTCTTGTTATAAGTTCAAGTCCTCGGTCGGAGAAAGTTAAAAAATATATTTGTGAGAGAGGTTTGTACAAAAGAAATATCATTTGTGTAACACTGATGAATGAATGAGATAATTACAAACGGAAGTACGTCACAGAAGTTCAACGTGAAAACAGCACAAAGTTCAACTACTACATTGAATGAATTTCAGATCAAAAACTTTTAAAATCATCGCGAGCATGAAAAAATGATCAACACGGGAAAGTTGTGTGCTTACAGCAGTTTCCACCGGTATATCACTTCCTCAATTCTGGTGAGTGGATGGAGAGCTACGAGGAGTGGATGGAGAGCTACGAGCAAAAAAATCACGTGAAAAACAGAGTGAAGTTCAGGTACACGCGCCGAGAAGTTCAGGTTCTTCACGCGGTGCATTTTCGAAGAATCTATTTCGCGATAAAGGCAGAACGAATGATCTCACCGTTTTCGAAATTATATGAAAATGGCTAGGAATCAGAGAAAACCATCAACATGGAAGAGTTTCACATTTTGGTAGCTTTTCAGCGGTATATTATTTGCCTCATTCCGATAAAGTTTGTAGAAATTACGGGGAAAATATGTTTTTAGCCATTTTCAAAATTGACTTAAAACCATAAGGAATTGCGAGAAACAATATATACAAAAAAGTTTCGCATCTGTTCAAGCTTTCCAACGCCATATCATTTGCTGCATTCAGACGTACAGTTAAAAATTAGCTCGAAAATACGAACTCGGTGGAACTTGTATCGTTTTCTAAATT